TAATATTTACATTGAGTTTTTTATTCTCCTCTGTTATGGCAGCACCTAGTGGCCAGAAATGATGTGACCTCATATTGTTGTAACTTGGAGGAACTGAAAGTGCAGAATTGTTTTATATTTGTTTGTGGAGCAGCAGCGAGCGAGGGAGGTGGTGGAGTGGAGGAGCAGTGAGGCCGAGCAGCTGAAGCTGCAGGAGGAGCAGAGCGCCATCGAGTTCAAACAGGAAGTTCACCTGCAGGAGTACAGGAGGGAGAGGGCGGAGCTATCTCACCTGAGCTGGAGGAAGAGGAAGGCGGCGTTGTACCGCGCCAACAAGACCAAGTTCTCTGTGCGTCCGAGCGAGAGGAGTCAGGACGAGCAGCTGAGGCTGCCGCTCATCATTAAAGGTGCTATGATTGGCCAATCCCACCGCAACATTACCCGAAAGGTTAACAACTTCCTGTTGACTGACCTTTGAATGTTGACCTCCAGGTGATGTGGACGGGTCGGTGGAGGCCATCTTGAACATCCTGGATAGTTATGACGCTCAGCAGCAGTGTGAGCTGGAGGTCGTCCACTTTGGCATCGGAGACGTTTCAGAGAACGACATCAACATGGCGGAAACGTTCGCAGGTGTGAACTCAGGGATGCACGTGATGCACGTCTCGAGCTTTGGATTCCCTTTTTATTTTACCGCAGATCACAGAGCTACGTGATGTCACAAGTCTCGGGTCACAGAGCGGCAACAAAATAAAATACATATTTTTCTATAAAACGTCTGATGATTAACTTTGATTCAAATCTTTGTTATTATCAGTTTCTGAGACTCGGAGCTAAAGCTGCAGTGATGTCAGAAAACTCTCTCTCTTTCTTTAGGGTCAATTTACGGATTCAATGTTGGGGCCAGCAGGTCGGTCCAGCAGGTGGCGTTGAAGAGAGGCGTCCCGCTCAACCTTCACACCGTCATCTACAAACTGGTCGATCAGCTGAAGGAAGAACTGAGCAACAAACTGCCGCCGCTCGTGTCTGAGAACGTGATTGGTGAGTGACGCTTGACATGAGTGAAAACAATAATAGAAATCAGCTGTTTGTTGTATTTGCTCGGCTCCTGCTCCACCTCTGAATTCTGTTTTTGACCCCGCCCCCTCCTCTAGGGGAGGCGTCGGTCCTCGCCATGTTCGAGGTCTCTGTTGGGAAGAAGAAGGTTCCTGTGGCGGGATGTCGGGTTCAGAAAGGTCAGCTGGAGCGTCGACACACGTTCAGACTGATCCGAGGGCGAGACACCGTGTGGGAGGGTGAGTGAGGCCCGGACCGGCTTTTATCTTCATTCACATCGTGAGATAAAAGGTTTTTCAACATTTTCCCAGAGACACATTCTGGATTTAAATTTGAATGTTTGTGTAATTTCACCCCAATAAAATGTGGTTCTAGTAAATCGAACTGGTTCCACAGAGACTGTTGAAGGAAAGTTCTACTGAGGGAGTTCTAGTTTTATATACATTTAAACTCAAGACTCAACCTGAGAAACATGTGACCAACGTTCCTCTGACGTTCCTCTGATGTTCGCTGCAGGATCTCTCTTGGCGTTGCGGCATCATAAGGACGACGTTCAGACGGTGAAGACCGGGATGGAGTGCGGTCTGTCAGCTGATGAAACTGTGGAATTCAAACCCGGTGATGTGATCGTGTGTTTTGAGAACGTGGACTGTCCGCAGGTCACTTCCTGGAACCCGGGCTTCTAACGACGCCTTGTCTTCTTCTGCGAGGACGAGTTCATCAAACTGATCGCTGACAGATATTGACTGATTATTGATCTCAATAAAAATGTGGCCTCACTATGGGAGGGTTTGTGTGACGCGACATGACATCATGACAAACAGCCAATCAGAGACGATGTGAAAAAAAACAAGTTTATTTGATTCAGAGGGAAAAAAACTAAAGAAATAAAAAGCTGGAGTTTCATCATGTGAACGAACTCATTAAAGAAACGGATCTTTTCGTTTAGCGTTGAGACGAGCGCCTGTTCTCTGAACTCTTCACTTCCTCCTGCTCTTGCCGGGTTTGGCGAGTAACGCCGGGTCAATCTGATCTGGAGTCAGCCCTCTGACGCAGAAGAGTCGAGCGGCCCGCTCAGACAGTGACCCCCCGCACTTCAACCCCCGAGACATTAGTTCCAGCTTCAGGACGTCCAGACCCAGAGACTCCAGCTGATCGACGGACGACACTGATGACAGATCCAGAGGTTGCTGTGGGGGAGGGGCATATGAAAGTGTTAAAGTAAATAAAATGTAATTAATTCAAATCAAACCGCTCAGTGTTTAATTAACGACAACACGAGGAAGATTTATTTAAATCTAATCTATTCAATGACTGATGATGAATGTCAGTGTCACATGACCTTCAGATCTCATGACATCACAAGATTTTAAAACGAGACTCAGCCAATCAGATCAGTTTCAGTCAACATGTTTTCCTGACTCATGAAGTCACTGTGACCTCTGACCTCTGATCAGTTCTTTGTGTGTTTGAATCAAACTAAAGTTCCCTCAAGGAGTTTGTGACATATCGTGAAAACAAAGCCTCCGGCCACTAGGAGTCACTGGTGTGAAGATGTAAGAAACTACAGCAAGAGAAGACAAACGACTGACCTGTTCCTGAGGTTCCTGGTCCTCTGAGGCTTTAGTCTCTGAGGCTTTAGTCTCTGAGGCTCTGGTCTCTGGCGGATCCTGGTCCTCTGAGGCTCTGGTCTTTGG